CACGCCGTGATTGAAGTCATCGGTGGCACTGAGGGCACAGCAAGCGGGGACTCAGACCCCCAACGCAAACTCCAAACATGCCCGAGCCAACCAGGTAAACAGCAAACTCAGAAGGCTCCCCCCTCCTGCCCAGGACAGCCCAGACCAGACTCCTTATACCTCCCACTTCCTCACCCCTTCCCCCAATCCCGTAAGAGCCCCTTCTGCAGGCTTCTCCCCACCCCTTGGGCCATACTGGGGCCTCAGAGCCGTGCGTCCCTCGTGGGTGATGGCTGCCTTCTGCCCACAGTTGGGGTGGAAGAGCAGCCGCTCGGGTTCAGCCTGGGCAGCGGGAGCAGCTCGGCGGAGGGCACCCTCAGGGGACAGCGCCCGCAGGATGGCATTGTTCCTGCGCAGACGGTCGCTATGGTTGTTATTGTGGACGATGGTCACCTTCACTGCCATCCCATACAAGTCTACCACACCATACACCACTGGGGGCGTCAATGGGGTAGCCACGCCTGTGGGGGTGGAAGGCACAGGAATGGGGGGTAAGGAGAGAAGAGTCAAATATAGAGACGGAGAATCCAGAGGCAGGAGGATGAGGTACAGACCACCCCCCGGGGAGCCCCGGCCCGCCAGCCCTCTGACTTCCCCTGACCTTGATCGATGCCGTTAATGAAGAAGTGGAGGGCAGAGTTGGACTTCCTTGTGAGACCAATGTGGTCACCCTCCTATTCAAGACGAACAAAAAAGAACAGTCTGGAGTTCATCCACAATCAGGCTCCGGACACGGGAACCACGAGCACGGAGCAGCCCCCGAGTCTTCCCACCTCCCACGTCCCAGGGGACAGCTGCCAAGTCCTCCCGTCCTCCGACCGCCCTGATGCTTCTGCGAGCCCTCCGGTAACTCCGGAAGTCCCCTGACAGCCAGGAACTTGCTTAACCCTCACGACGATCTGTAAAACCCCGCTAACGGGCTCATTTTAGACTCTGCAGGAAAGGAACAACTACCCAAGAGGGTAAGCTTCTGGCCTCCGGCCACCATCACACACGGCCAACCAGCAAGAGGAACGGAACCCACCCAACTTACAAACTGAGTGCCTGGCTGCGGGCAGCCCTGCCTGCTTAGAACCTTTCGGCAAAAGATCAAGGCCCGGGCAGGGACGCAGCGGGCTGGCCCCTCACCTGCAGCTCGTCCAGGCTGAACTCACAGTACTCCCGGCGGGTGCCCTTGCCGTTGGTGAGAATCCCGCAGCCGCTCATCATGATGGTGCCTAGGGGGAAGCACAGCCTGGTCAGGGGACGAGTTTCCTTCACCGCAGTTCCCCAGGCCCCCGCCCCCCACCCGCCAGCGCTGGTACCTGACTGCAGATTGGTCATGGTGGCTGGGTATTCCAAATTGTTGGGGTTGTGGGTGGTGACGCCAATCTCAATGGAGCCCGACCACTTATCCACGAGCTTGTCGATGCGGATCTGGGTGGGAGATTGGAAGGGAGAGGCGGGCATGTAAATGGAGGGAAGGGAGTCCCGCCCCTGGTCCTTCCCCAGCCCCCGCCCTTCCCGGAGCGAGGAGCAAGCCCCGTCTTCTTCGTCTTCAGCTCCCAGCGGGCGAGGTGCCGCCAGGCCTGGCGCCTGCGCACCTCAAACATCTCGTTGTCCCGGAGCGGGCGGTTGGTCATGACGACCCCGTTGTTGAATTCGTCCAGGGGCCGGCGCCGCTCCGCCGTCTTGTTGTTGTTGCTGAGTTTGATGAGCGTCCCACACTTCTCGTGGAAGAGCAGGGCGTCGTTGGACGTGAGGACGGGGGAGGTGGCGGCACAGCTGGGCCCTAGCGCTTCCCCGGCTGGCGGGGAGCTCAGGTTCACATTGAGGAGCCCCCCGTTATAGGCCGACAGGATGGCGTTGCTCACCACCTCAGACAGCTCCATGCCGGCAAAGTCTACGCAGCGGGGCGGAAGGCAAGCCGACGTGAGTGAGGCCCTGCGCCCTGGGGCCCGCAGTGCTCTCCTTACCCCTCTCCTGAGGTCCCCCCCTTGTCCGCCTCATCCCCACTCCCCTTCCCGGGCCGCCCGGGAGCCCTCACCATTATGCGACTCAAGGCTGTTAGGAAACGTCTCCGGCCGGGCCTGTGCTGGGGACACCATGAAGGCTGGGAACCAGGCAGGACGGGAGGGGGATAAGGGTTCGGCCCTGCGGCAGAGCCCCCAGCCAGGAGACCCCTCCTCCAGCCCCTGCTCCCCTTCACCACACTCAGGGGTCTGAGTGGCCCTGCCCGCACCCCGCCTCGCTTGTCCTAGGTTTTCCCTTCAGCCATCCCCTGGGCCCCTCCCCTCCACCACGGCCCTAGCTGTGTTCTCACCTTCATCCCTAGAGGTCCCCTGCTCAGCCAAGGCAGGATCTTCGGGGGCAGCGGCGGGCTCGAGGGCAGGTGTGGGGGGGACGGGAGTGGGGGAGCTGAAGCCTGGCTCCGGGGGCAGCACAGTGATTTGGGTGCACTTGCCGTAAAGGTCCACGACGGCCCAGACGCGAGCAGGCAGGCCTGTGGCGGCCACACCACAATCCCGCCCATTCACCCAGAGCCGCAGCTCCCCGGCCGCTGTGCGCTCCACGCCCACACGGTCCCCTTCGCCAAGCTGGTCCAGGTCCTGACCATACTCCTCCAGCACAGAACGTCCATCCCTCAGCACCGAGCAGCCCGACACTACCCACGAACCCCCCTTCAGCCCTGTGGCGCTGCTCGGGAAGTCCAGCACACTGGGGTCCAGTGCCGTCACCCCAATCTCAATGGAGCCACTCCAGGAGTTGACCTGTGATAGGGGTGGTGGACAGAGGCTCAGGATGGGCCACCAGTGGGCCTCCCACCACTAGGAAACCACAACTCACAGGCCACCGTGTCCTCCTCTCCCCACCGCGCCGACGGCTTAACTGGCTTTTCTCACTTGACACACTAACCCAGAGCCGCAGCCCCACAAGTGGTTCTCTGACTCTGTCCCTGGGAGGTCTGGTCCACTCTGCTCTGTACCCCGCTCAGTGTCTGATCTGTCCTTTCCCCACCATGCTGGCTAGTTTCCTGGCTCCAGCTCCCCGCCCCCTCTAACTTCACTGGACTCTGTGGCTCCTCAGCCACCCACATTCACAGCTAGCTCTCCGCGTCCGTATTCCGTGCTCTTGTATAATATATCATTCTCTTCCCTTCTCTTCTCCCTGGCCCAGTTCTCTCCTAGGCTCTGGCTTTTCTCTGCCCAAAGTCAGTCTCCGTGCACCTGGCCTCTTCCCTAAATCACACACACCTCCCACTCCGATCCATCTTCCCCATCCAACCCTGAGTTTGTCCTTCAATGGTCTGATCTTTCTCGGTTATCTCTCTCCCCTGCCCATCACGTCTCTGACATCTCTCCATCCTCCATCTCCCAGACATTGTCCGGGCTGGCTCCCTACTCGTTCTAGCGGGCGAGGGCCCGTGTCCCTCCCCTGCTCCTGGGTCCTGAGGAAATTCAAGCTCTCCTGGTCTCCCTCAGGCTGAATGCTTCGGGTTCCTGCTCCCTCCCTGCACGTCACCTGGCGTCTGAGCCTGTCGGTCCCCCCTCGGTACCCAATGATGTGGTTCCGCTGGCTGACCTACCCGTCTCCCTCTGGTCCCTCCCACCATCCTCCACATCTTGGCTTTGCGGCCCCAGCTCCGCACCTTGCGGTCGATGCGGACGGTGAAGACGCGTCCATCGCGCAAGGGTTCCCGGCTCAACACCAGCCCGTGGTTAAACTCCTGGCCCGGCTGCTGCCGCCGCGCCGTGCGCCCGCAGGCCGACAGGCTGACCAGGCGCCCCGTGCGCGGGTGCAGCTCCCCGCCGCTGCCCAAAGCCGCGCCAGACCCCGGGCCTGGGCCGCTCCCGCCGGGGCCTCCACCCCCACCGGGCCCCGGCCCGGGGCCTCCCCCGGACCCCCCACTCCCACCCGACCCCGCCGCCATCGCCTCTGACGCCGGGGCCGCACGACAGCCGCGTTTGGCGGCACCGTAGCAACGGCGGTGCACAAACACCCTGAAGGAATAGGACCGGGGGCAGGGGCCAGGTGTGCTTTACGGCACTGCCGGGCACTGAGGCATCCCGGGCTGAGGGCTAAGGAATTAACGGCCACCCGGTGGGAACAGAAGGACGACGGGGTCGGAGGCTTGCTTTACGGCAGGGAGAGGTGATGGAGTGGCTCCGAGAGCGGGGAAGACTTGGGCTGGGAGTTTTTACGACAGTGAAAGAAACGACGGCCGCAGCCGTCTTTACGACGGGAGGGGGGGTGCCGGCGCCTGAAACACTTTCAGCTTTGCGGCAGCGGCGCCGGCAGCCCCGCCCCCGTCGCGGCAGGCCACGCCCCGAAGTAGTCGCTTTACGGCAAGAGGAGGCGGGGTCTTTCAGCTTCGAGCGTCGAAGCTGTGTGAACAGGGACCGGGAACCGGTCGCTTTAACCATGGAGACCTCGGCCCTCCACACCGCCGAGGCCGGATGTGTCTTGCGACAGGATCGCAGTCCCTCCACTTTCCACTTTATAACGCACCTCTCGTGAGAGGCAAAGCGGCCGACTTTTGGGGGGAAAAGGCTTGCGGATGTTTCCAGCCAAGCCCACCTTGAACTCCAGTTTATTCATGCTTAGGTTTTAAAGCTAATAAATAAAAAGCCCAAAGAAACCCCGGCGGACAATTTCAAGCTACGGCGCTAACGGCCCCAAAAAATTGCCCCAGAGCTATGATCAAGCCCCCAGCCCAGCAACGGCGCTCGCGCTGAGGTCGGATGACTGTGAGGTCACAAGGCTTCTCGCCCCCGCCCTCCACCAGAGAAAAGCCGGAACAAGCCCCAGAGACAAAGATTTTTGAGGGAGGGGCAACTCTCAGCCCGAGGCCCCTATATAGTCTTCATTCCGCCCACCGCGACTCCCCGGGGCAGAGGGGAGGGGCCGGTCCTGGCTCCGGAGCCGTGGACGGAAGCGGCGGGGTGGGGCCTCGGGGCGGGGCCATGTGGGGCGAGGGGGCGGGGCGGGGTAGCTGAGCGGGGCCCCCTGGTGGGGCAATGGAAAAGCAGGAGTCTGGGGGGACAGCTGGCAGCCTCACCCAGGAACCCCCTGGAGGGGCAGCCAGGGAAGTGCCAGGAGGCAGCGCATGGATGGAGGCGGGCTCCGGGCTGCCCTCCGGAGTTTTCTGGTCCCAAGGTTCCTGCCGCTCCGGAATAGTATCTAGAAGCCCGGATTCCTTCCGTCACTCCGGAGTGGAAGCGGCTCATGGGTCCAGGCCCAACCAGCATCCTGGGGAGGTTGTGGGCCACACTGGCACATACCCTGGCAGATCTAATCCCCCCGTTCCTGGAACCTGTGCATCCGGGACGTCTGACTCGGGATGCAGTTCGCGTTCCGGTTCAACTTCTTTGCACCCTCACAAACCCTCTGAGGATCGGCCCCATAGCATCCTAAAAACCAGCAACCCCACCTTGATACAGAAATCCCCCAGTGCGGAAAAGTAAGGATCCCAGCTTATCTGGCAGGATGCACGGAGCCAGGAGGGAGGGTTACGGACACTGGAGGGGGCCGAGCCAGGAGGGAAGGGGCGGAGTCTTGAGAACTAGATGTGATGGCCATTGAGTGGGAAATGGGAGGTTCCAGGTCTTTGGGAGAGGGCTACAGGCACTCTAGGTACGTAGTCCGTGGTCATCCTTAGGCGTGACCCTCATCCGTGGCCTCCTGTTTCTCTGGAACGGCAAGGGGGTAGAAGGAGTTTTTGAATGACTGAAAGAATTCGGGAGGACTGTGAGCAGGGGGTCACTAGGTTTCCTACCCCTTCTTTGTGTCCTTCCCCAACTGCAGGAAAAAGTCTCAACACTGGGATGAGATGAATATCATGACCACGTACCACCCTGCTGACAAGGACTACGGGTTTATGAAGGTGGATGAGCCGAGCACTCCCTTCCACAGGTGCTGCGCTGTCAGCCACAATCCCCCAGCCCAGACTCCCTTACCTATTCACCGGAGGGGAAGGGCAGGGCGGGGAAGGCGGGAGAGAAGGCGGAGAGGCCTCAGGGACTGGATGCTACCGCCTCTCTGCACTGCTTCCTCCCTCTGCAGGCCGAATGAGCCCTCCTACCCAGTGAGTCCCGAGGCCCTGGCTGAAAGGTGAGAGTCCTGCCCTAACTGGTTTGGCTCAGTGGATAGAGCGTTGGCCTGCAGACTCTAGGGTCCCAGGTTCGATTCTGGTAGGGGGTATGTACCTTGGTTGTGGGCACCTACCCAGTAGGGAGTGTGCAGGAGGCAGCTGGTGGATGTTTCTCTCTCATCTATGTTTCTAACTTCCTATCCCTCTCCCTTCCTCTCTGTGAAAAATGAATAAAATATATATTTTTTTTAAAAAGAGAGAGAAAGAAAGAAAGGCGAGAGGCCTGCGGGAGATCAGTAGGGATGCGTGTCTTCCTCCTTCCACTCCTGAACTCTAATCTGAGCCAGTTCTGCTTTTCGGTCCCCTAAATGGGAGGACCTCATTCCTCATCCAGCCAAGGCGCAGGTGGGGGAGTCAACCAGCTGCCCCCATGGTCTTTTCACACGTCACTGCTCCCAACTAGATTCCCCCTCACCCCCTGCAGGTTGGCAGCAATGGACAGTTTCTACCCCAAGGTCCTTCAGCATCCTGATAACAGAAGCTCGGGGCCTTCCGACAACTTTTCCAAAACACGTGAGACGGGGGGGGGGAGGGGGGGGGAATGCACGGAAAGGGGAGGTGGAGTGAACCGTGGCAGGAGAGCTGAGTTCTCAAACCGGCCCACAGACACCGCTGGTTTTGAGAAGCACCGCAAGGCACACTACGATGAAGGAAAGTTCCTCAGCGCTCAGAAAAAGCGGCCGTCGAAGAGCAAGGCGGGTAGTGAAAGTTTGGGCAGTGGCGGTCGAGGTGTGATGTTGGGCCCAGAGGCCAGGCCTGTGGAGGGAGGCCAGGCAAGAGGACTGGCCGGAGGAGCCCCAAATGAGATTGGCCTGGTGACCAGGAACCACATCCGAGAAACTGAGGGTTAGTAGCGATGGTGGGGCCCCTGGGACTCAAGGGAATTGTCGTCCAGAGCCTTCTTCCTCAGTGTGCATGGACTGGCCAAGGGCCCTGCTGCCTGAGGGGAAGGTGATGCTGGGAGGTGACCCCAGGAGAGACAGAGGGGCAGTTGGGATAAGTTCCCCATCAGGATAATCCCCAGGAAAGTCTGGCTGATGAGGATAAGCAGAACAACCACGAGACCTGCGGGGGATGGAGAGGTCACTAAGGGTTTCCTAAAAGAGAAGGAGGTATAGAGGTGGGATGAGAACCTGGGGCTTGAGCTTCTCCCCTCTGGCGGTGGGAAGGTCACAGTGGGCACCTAGGGACCTGGGCACCCGAGATGGCTGTAGGACAGATGAATTTGGGTGACTCCTCAGATTCCTTGACCTTCAGAAATCAGTCCCCAGCTTCGGCCAAAATCATGCCGGACAAGGAGGCTGATGTGCAGCGGAAGGAGTATTACAGCAAAGGAAGGTACCTGAGGTGCTGGCCTCACCCGGAGCTCAAGGAGGACTCGGAAGATGAGCAGCCGGACAGTGACAGTGGGTCCGGTTAGCCTGGGGGCGGGAGGACTGGGAGCTGACAGACTGATGGGTGCTCCAACCCTGATCGGGGATGCTTCCAGGTTCTTCACGCTTGAGCTGGGCAAGTGAGAATTCCACAGGAACTGAGGTCCGTTCGCTGGACCACAGAGGAAGCCCCCTTCGGGATCACAGGCCATAGAGAACTCCCTGACTGTGACAGGGACACCGTTACATCCTGGTGAGCGCATCATGTCACTGGGCCTGGCTCTTGGCAAGCTCCCACCCCCCAAGCCCCCACTCCCTTTAGGCCAGCAGATCTGCAACAGGTGCTGAGGCCCTAACCATCCTAGTGTGCAAGGCCTACAGTGTCCAGAGAGCAGCCGCGAAGACCAGAAGTGGTTGGGACCCCCTCCAGCTTGACACCATCTACCGGTCCCAAGCCTCCTCCCAACTTCTCTCTGCCACCTACCCCACTCCTGGTTCTTCCCTGTTTTCCAAAGAAGTGGGTCCTAAGCAGTGTCTGGCTACTGTCGGTGTCTGGCACCTAAGGGGCTGAACTGCCCAAGCCCACAAAGCTCAGAGAGGAAAACCAGAAGCAACCCAAACTCCTCAAACCAGAAGGAGTGCAGCTATGAGCCTGGGCAGGGGCAAGTGGCTGCATGCACTGGCCAGGGAGGGAGAGGGGCTAAGGATAGGTCCCAGGGAGCCTGAGGGGTCACAGGGGCCAGATCTCATGCCTGCTATAAGAAAACACTCACCCAAGCCCTCCTCCTCTCTCCAGATGAATCCCTTCGGCTTTGATGGACTGAGGAGGGAGAAGCCACACCATAGAAAATGTAGCCAGCTGGAGATGGGGAGGGGGCCAGCCCTCCCCTGCCCTCACCACCCCCGGGGTGGAAAATAAAGAGACGAAGAGCAGCAGTCTGGGTGCTGTGAATTGGGGGCCCAGGCGGACCTGCTCAGTCACTGAAGAGAGGAGAGGAGGGAGGGTGATTCGCACACAGGAAACCCCCACGAGCAGCAGAGAAGAGGAGAGAAGAAAGCTCGGAGTAGCATGGGGAACTGGAGTCCAGGAGGTCTTCGGAGTCTGAGAAGGCCCAGCTGCAGCAGGGTGGCAGTGATTGGTGTGATTCGGTCAACATAAATTCCCTGGTATCATCTTTAATTCTTACAACAACCCTGGAGGCGGGGGTGGCCATCCCCATCTTCCAGGTGAAGAAACTGAGGAATCAGAGAGCTTGCTCAGGGTCATGCACCCTCTAAGTGGCCAAACCAGGATTTGAACCTGTATCTGCCAGGCTCTTAATACTCAACCACTAAAGGAGAAAGGAGCAGAGATCTGACCCAGTAGGAAGGTGACAGCATATCTCTGAGGCGGGGCTGTGGCTTCTCTGATCTCAGGCCCCTCTCCTCTGCCAGGCCCCGCCTCTGCCCCTCCCAGCACTGCCTGGAAGTGTGGGGCGAGAGCTCCTCCTACGACACCCCTTCCCCTTGGGGAAAGAATTATCACCCCTCCCAGGCTCTACCCAGGGAGACCGCTCTTCTCCTTCCTCCCCAAGGCCCCTTTGGGGGCAGGGAGGGCCTCCACTTGCATTCCCACCCGCCTGGCTCCGAGATCCATCGGCCTGAAGTGATCCAGCTGAGATGACAGTCAAACTGGACTTCGAGGAGTGTCTTAAGGACTCACCCCGCTTCCGGTAAGTGTGCACAGGTCTGGGGGGTAGAGGAGAGGTGGCCCGACACCCCCCTACACACACACACACACACACACACACACACGCACACACACGCGCGCACACACACATGCACACCCTTCCCCAGGCCAGATGTCCTAGCAGGGACTAGGTCTCAAAGGGACAAGGTGAAGCATGTGGGCCAAAGTAGTACCTCTGCTATCAAACCCAGAGGTGTCTCACCCCCAGAGCTGGCATTCCATCCTTCCTCTCACTGGGACCCCCGCCCCTCCCCCAGCACCTGCTCTGGGCGGTTAGCAACTTCCTGCCCTTACCACATCCACCCTCCTTCTACCCTTCCTGCTCTGGCCTGGGCATAGTACAGTAGCTCCTACACTGTGGCGTGAGCAAGCTAAAGAGGGCTGGTGGGTGGGCCTTCTTAACCCACCAGCTTTGTCTGTCTGTACCCCCACTCTCTAACCCCAACCCCTGACCTGGCCTTGCCAAGGTAGACAGACTACATGGATCCAAGCTCTGTTCCTTGACACCATCCCTCCTTTCCCAGAGCCTCTATTGAGCTGGTGGAAGCTGAAGTGTCGGAATTGGAGACCCGACTGGAAAAGGTGACTCAGGGTCCATTTGAAAGTGAAGAGGGTGGGACCAGGAAGGAAGTTAGAGACAGAGAATGAATCCCAGAGATTATTGAATGCTAATCACGTGGGATAGATATTTAGGGGCAACCAGAAGCAAAAAGGTAGTTCTATACCCTCAAGGGGCTCGGGATCTTGGGAAAAAAGTCTCACTTGTGGACTTACCCTGTCGGCTCTTGAGCCCCGCATTGTACCAGCCCTGGGCTGTTGGGTAGAGCAAGACTATTTCTGCCCCGGAGCCCACAGACTGACTGGAGGACAAACCAGTGAACCACTTAAACACATTGCAGTGAGGCCCTCCCCGCCGCCTGTTATAAAACAGCCCATGCGTGTGCCGCTACAAATACATACACTCCCGTCCTCTTAGTGGCTCTGCTCTTCTCTATAGCATTCAGCTCAATCCGACATCACATATGTCCTTGCCGTTTTAGTTTTCTGTTGCTGTATAACCAGTTGTTACACATTTAGTGACAGTACGTATTTTTTATCATAGTGTTGGTGGATCAAGAGTCAGGAAGCTTAGCTGACCCTCTGCTCAGGGCCTCACAGGCTGCAGTCTCTTCCAAGCTTTTCTTCCAAGCCCTCAGGTTTGGGGGCTGAGGCCCTCAAGTCCTCGAAGTCACCAAGCCCCCTCCCATGGGGCCCTGTCCACAGGCAATTTGCTTCACAGCAGCTTATTTCTTCAAGGCCAGCAGGAGAGTCTCCCTTGTGTGAGCTGGCAAGATAGTACCCATTCATATCGCCCCCGGGGGCGGACCCATCACCTTCGCCATGTGGAGTGCCGTCCACCGGGAGTGCCGTCCCATCATGTTTGCCATAGTCTACTGGTTAGAAGCAAGTCCCAGGTCTCTCTCACACTCAAGGGGTAGGGATTATACAAGGGTGGGAATCGTTGGGGGTCACCCTGGCATATGTCTGTCATGATATTTTTGCTGATGTTTTTTTCTTTTCATCTGAATCTAACTGTCATGAGGGACCTTTATGTTTTGTTTTTGCTCAGTCACCAGTGCCTCTACCATGGCCTGAAAGTCAGTGGGTGAACAGCTAATATATACATATATTTTAAAGTTAAACATTCTATTTGAGTAAATTACAGATTCACAAGAAGTTGCAAAAACAGTACAGGGAAGTCCCACACACCCATCACCCCGCTGCCCCCAATGGCGGCATCTTACGTAAGTAACTGTGGTGTACTAACCGTGCCTACCTCCCAAACCAGGAAATGGACATCGGTGTGCTGCAACGAACTGTCTATGCGTCTCACCTGTTTTGCATATGCTCTTTAAAAAAAACTGTGTGAATAACTCTATGACACTTGATCATGTGTATAGATTCTTTTTTAAAAATATATTTTATTGATTTTTAGAGAGGAAGGAAGAGGGAGAGAGAATCATGGGTTGGCTGCCTCTTACATGCCCCCCACTGGGGATTGAGCCCGAAACCCAGGTTTGAGCCCTTGGCTGGAATCGAACCTAGGACCCTTTATTCAACAGTCAGATGCTCTATCCTTTGAGCCAAACCAGCCATGGCTATATCCTTTTTTAAATACATTTTTTAAAAAATATATATATTTTATTGATTTTGTACAGAGAGGAAGGGAGAGAGATAGTCAGAAACATCGATGAGAGAGAGTCATCAATCAGCTGCCTCTTGCACACCCCCCACCGGGGATATGCCCGCAACCAAAGCACATGCCCCTGACCGGAATCGTACCCAGGACCCTTCAGTCCCCAAGCCGACGCTCTATCCATTGCGCCAATCCGGTCCTGGCATTAAATACATTTTTACTGTTGATAATATTACAGATGTCTCCCATTATATCCCCCTATCCTTCCCTCTATATAGATTCTTATAACCAGCGTCACACACAAGATACAAAACTCCTGTCACCACACACAAGGGAACTCTTTTGCATTAGGCTTTGTAGTGATACCCTCCCTGCCCGCTTCTCTAAGCCATGATGACCACCCATCTGGCCTCTGTCTCTAGACTTTCATCATTTCTAGAATGGAATCATACAGTATGTGACCTTTCAAGATTGACTTTTCCCCCGCTACTTAGAATAATGTCCTTGAAGTTTATTCAAGTTGTTGTGCATCAGGAGTACCAGTAGTTCATTATCATAGTTCATCTACAACTAGTGTACTCCTTTGCATGGCTGTGTACCGTCCTCTTGTACGGCTGTACCCATTTGTCCCTAGTTCAGTCTTACAAAGGTTTCTAACTCAGATATAAGAGGGAGAAGGGTGGATAAAGGAAAAAACTGGACACTCAGTCCCCCAGCTCTACACAATGGGGTTTTGTCCCTTGTCACCCCATGGGGACATCTGATAAGGTTTGATCATGACCAGTTTCCTGACCATTACTGATCCTGCTAACCACCTTACACTACATTTCCCTGAGGCCTTCAGTAGCTCACAAAAGTGTTTTCCGGTTCAACAAAAGTTCACTGGGAGATCAACCAAAGGATTTGTATGCATGCAAATAAGCCTAACCAATGGACACAGACACCAGGGCAGTGAGGGCATAAGGACACATACTAGTATGCAATACCTTAATCAATAAAGAAAAAAAAAAAGTTCACTGGATGAGCTGACAGGCGCCCTGCTCGGGGGCAATTTGATTTTTAAGGGGGGCGATTTGAGAATGATTTTTTTTTTTTTTTTTTTTGCATTTCTTATGGTTCTTGGGGCCTCACATGTGTATATAAATATATAGTAGCATATCTATGCATTTCATTTCCATATGTTTTAAAACTTTACTTGCTGTTTTTTCCTATCACTTCATATTATTATTATTATTTTAACAATTTCTTAGTGATTTCTTTCTCAGCCCTTCAACTGTCCTTTCATTCTTTTATTTTTCCTTTCATGGATGCCGTGTTCTTTGGAAGTTAATGGCCATTTAGGCTTCCTCCACGAGAATAGTTCACTTTTTGAATAATGAGAATTCTGTGTCATAGGGAGGGCATCAGGATTTAGAGATGCTTAGGTGGGGCAGGGCCAGGAGAAGGCGGGGACCGCTGCTGCAGAATTTACACCTGTTAGGTAGAGCATTCAGTCTGTGAGTCGTGCATGAGGAGGGAGTTTCTGGGGAGCTCTGAGGCAGGGAGAGACATTTTTGGAGGTGAGGCTGACCATGTCCTGGGTGACAGGCCGGGAGGAGTTTTGTCCCAGGCGCAGAGCAGGGGGAGTAAAGCGGCAGAGGTGAGAAAGCAGCAGGTCTGTGTTAGAAACTGAGAGCTGGCCTGGGCGAGGTTGTGAGGGAGGGTCACAGCCCCGGAGAAGGGAGAGGAAGGGGGACAGCAGTGGGAGTTGCTACGACTATGGTGGCGCATGGCACGACTCCCCTTTCCCTGCTGCTTCCTAGCTCCTCAAGCTGGGCAATGGCCTCCTGGAAAGCGGGCACCACTACATTGCTGCTGGCCGCGCCTTCATTGCAGGCATTTGCGACCTGGCCCACCTGGGTCCCCCGGAGCCCATGATGGCGGTATGTGCAGGGCCCGGGCCAGCGTGGGCTGGGGTCTGAGATGAGGAGAGATCCTGTGGAAGCTGAGGGGGGGTGGTCTGGGTCTACAGGTCCCAGGCCAGAGCAGGGCTGGTGCTGCCACCTGAGACAGTCCTACCCTCGCCCCCACGCCTGCTGCTCTCTCTCTCTGCCTCTTCCTGCCTAGGAGTGTCTGGAAAAATTCACCGAGAGCCTGAGCCACAAGCTGGAGAGCCATGCGGTGAGTGGGGGTAAGTAGGGCATGGGGGGAGAGCAGGGTTGTCCGTGGCCCTGACCTTTACCTTCCAATGTCCGCTTCCCCTCAGGAGCTTCTAGATGCCACCCAGCACACGCTGCAGCAGCAGATCCAAACCCTGGTCAAGGAGTGAGTGTTGGGAGGG